CTTCCCTCCAATAGCTCCTCGTCTGCAGAAACCAAGAGCTGAAATTTGTTGCTCAATAGAATAGGATAATTACAACTAAATTCACTACTTTTAGCCCTAATAGTACTCTTTCTAACTTCCTGAAAGTCAGTGTTAGCTAATGTATCTCTTGCATGTAATAGCTTAAGCTCCTCCTGAAATCCTTTCCATTTCCCACAATCTACACATTTATCTAATGCTTCTATATTAATTATGATAGCCTCCAACTTACAAACTCTACACAAAAATTGTAGATCTTCATTACTAGTTTCTTTAAAAGTACATGCCAGTCCCAAGTTCCCAAATAACACCCATTCATTGCACCCATTACACCTAACAAACTATGAATGCTTAACTTCACACTAGTCTTAACCACTGTACTTGTAGCCTGAAAATAGATACTCAATACCAAATACCAGTAGCCTTTAATTATATAGAACTTAGAAACAGAACTTTATTAGAAGTCTTTGATCTATATGTAATGTTAATAACCAAATGTATTTAGCCTGACTTATAACCTATCTATAACTACAGGCTGAATTTAAACTAATGGATTTAAGTTCAAGTAAACAAGTTATTCCTTAAAACATAAAGAGACAATAAACTTGTTTTTAGATTGTACTTATTTAATAAAAAAAAATGTATTTATCCTGTTTTACAATTTACCAGTAGGTTGAAATATACCCAAGCCTAAAGTACCATTACATGTACTAAGCCTATTTTAACATTGTAGTAAAATTCACACCACTAAACTCTAAGTTAAAACTTTGAGCATCTTACCTATATTTACCAATCTTACTATATCTAGTTATTCTTGTTTTATTTGACCCAAATTACTACAAATTATAATATTCATATTTAATAATTTTCAGAAATCTATAAGAGCTTAACTTTTCAATGTCCCCTCTCTTCTGTTGCCCCCTCTATACTGGTGGCTGTTTGTGCTAGTAATTACTAATCATAGTATTCGTACCTAATTCTAAAATATTGTAAAAATAAAAGTGAACATTTTCTAAAAAAAGTATTTTTTTCTGGGAAGTACGATTGGGCTCTTTAGTCATATGCAACTTATTGCACCAAAACAATTCAATGTACAGAGCTCATTGATTTCATAAATTTTACTGATATAAACTGTAATGTTTTTTTTTTATAGGTTAAAAGTGCTATTCTTTATTGAAAAAAATAATATTTTTTAAGAACTCCAGTTTTATAGTACTATGTTTAAAAATTACAACAATAAAGATATAATAAACCCTCAAGTATAGTCCTGGTGATAGTTGTGTTCTTGTTGTGTGGGAGAGTACTTTTATTTAAAATTGTGTTCTATTATAAAGAAACGGTTGTTTCATATACCATAGTTATTTTTCAAATTTACTGAATTTTGAATACCCAAAATGTGAAATGTATTATAATTTTTTGTTTGTTGTAATACTCAATAGATGGTGCCACATTTCATGTAGTTTTGGTTACATACATAAATGAATACATACTTGCTACAGTGCATTTTAGCAAGAAAGATGGTGTGTGTGTGTGTGTGTGGAAGAGGGGTGAATTATTTGAATTCATAGAAACTATGCTCATTAGTATAATGAAGACAATCTATTACAATCTTTTGGTTCACTGCATATATTTATCAATACCTTATGTAACTTGGACTGTTACAGGCACTGTCATACGGGCCTGGTGATCCATATGTACCACGATAATCTTCATCATATTCATGGTGATAGTCTCGAATAGATCTGTAGTAAGTAGGACTACAGTTTGGAGACAGACTCCTTTCAAACCATGGGTCATCATCAGTAACTCTGTCATGGTCAACATAATACCCACGTTTCTTCTTCTGCTTCTACATGACAAGAATAGTAAATGAAACTCACAGTCAACTGAAATTTACTATCCATTGTATTTCTACTTTAGTCATAACAAGCCTCAATGTGAGAAAATCAAAGCACAAAACATCTGTTTTATTACCAGAAATATTTTGTAAAAAATAAAAAGCTTGTACAACTGACCATCACAGAAGTTAAATCTATCTGTCATTAAACATAAACTATAAATTCTCAAATTTTAAGGGCCTGACATTTTTTAACAGGTATGCAAGTTTTCAAATGGAATTTTTATGTAACTAAAAAACCTTTTGTCTTGCAGTCCTATTCTCTTACAAAATAATGATTTTTTCAGAAGTTTCCTTAACACTTAGTATTTATATATCAATTACTAATATCTAAGTTTATACTTTTATTAATAAATAAACACAAAATACTGTATTTTTCGGTGTATAAGACACTTTTTTTACCCCAAAACTTGATGTCAAAATCTGCTT